ATCAAGTGTCTGATGACAGTCTGATGACGGTTTGACTGTGGGGTTTTATGAATGATCCGATGATATTCACAAATTGGCTTCCCTCATCGCCCCCCTTTTTTTTTTGCGAGGAAACCAATAGTTGACAAAAACTGATACTAACTCTTTCGCCACTGTCTTTGATCATTTTCTATAGAATGAAGTATCCGTATGCCACATCCAAGAAGTATACCATAAATTTATTCCCGCGCATTGTCATCGCCATAGAAAATGAATTTTATATGTATATCATCCCAGGGGTATCGTGCCGTGTTACTCGTTAAGAATGAAACCGTTTCTTCATAGTATTATTCTCCAAGCATGTTTAGACCTCTTTCATATTCGGAAGCGTTGAGTTACAGCTATGCCCGTCATCATGCATCTGTTGTACTGTCACTGCCAGGGCCGAGTAGCCCTGTTCATAAAACTGTCGTATCAAATGTACTCTACAATTTGCTTCCTCATGACTCGGGTGGTTACTACTGTATTTCCCGCAAAAAAATCAACGAATCTGTTTAGCAATTTGACGTGTGCGTGCGGTCATAAAAGGTTAAGCCCAATCTTCTTGAAAATGGTTAGTTGCGTCCTCACGCAGAGGTACTTTCAGGTATTTTGAGATACTCCACTGGAACACATTGCTTGTAGAGTCGCATCTTGAACTCCCCAGGTCGTGCCAGAACGATGGAACCGGATGAAGATCAAATTCTCACGATGATGGTATGCTTTCACCGATATTTTCCACAGGCTTGTGTATCATTTTTCAAGAAATAGGGACAGTTCTAGGGATCGGTAGGGGATCTAACTGCATCCTGAACATTAGCAATGGAAACCATGGCGCACATGTATTCGATGGCGAGCATCCAAGATCTTGCGGAGTACATTACGTATAAATGAGTCAAGGTGGATTCACACATCCATGCATTGTACTTACTCTATTCAAACTTGAATCCCCTTTCGGTCTGTGTTACACAACCAGTGAACGATTTGCCTCTGTGTCACTGAGGATAAATATAGCATGGCATTTTACTTGCAGTGTGATGTGCTCATGGCTAACTGTAGGGAACAGCTTAAACCGTGTATCCACTAGGCTCTTCCCAGGGTGCACCTGTACATAGTAAAATTCTAAGAATGAGGGGGAAGGGGTTTGCCTGAAACAAGTTTCCACTTGGAATCGCCTTAGCTTCATGCACACCCAGACCCTGTTTATATGCGTTCTCTTCCAAGTCCTGTTCTTGTATGCGCACAATAGGAGCAGTAGCTTTTTCGAATGATCTGTATCTTCTGTTTGTTCTCAACGATGAACTGAAAATATCTTCAAAGTCTCATTCAAGATGTGCGTAATAGATCATGTAATTCTCATGTTCTATGTATTCATCCTGTTCCGCCTTCAACATGCGTGGGATAAGATTGAAAACCTGCAATTTTTATTTCAGCAGCGATAGACTCTGCAATATAAGTATCGTTGTACCTTGTAGCCTTGCGGCGTTTTACTGCCTACGAATTTCGAGGTGGCGACCGATATGGATAGAGCTTGTCAAGGAATAAGTTTAATGCAACTTGTCTCACACAGATGGTGTCGCGAACATAATGGTAGGTTTATGACCTCTCGAAACATATCGAAAGGTTTCGCCGGTGATGCTATACCGCGTGTATAGTTCATTGCAAAATGCAAATCCGCCGGTTCTATATAATTGTATCTGCCAGGGGATCTGACAGCAGTATTTGATTCCTGACTTCCTTCGGTGTAAATCAGGCGTCGAATCGCGGCTGCACGGCTGTGTACATATTTCAACAAACGATTCATGCGAACAATCAGCGCTTCTCGAGGGACAAGTTCAGTACATGCGTTTCACAGGGCTAATATGCTCCATACTGTCAGACCCACTATTAGGTGGAATACGGGTTGGTGTTGACCACGCCTGTATCGGGTGTTGAGTGGCCCAGTATTGCCTTGCTGGCTATACTACCTACTGCGTAGCACTCGCTGGTTGACCAGTATCACAGTGGTGAGATGAGTCCTCCGTCTCTACTGGAATTTACAAGATTGACGAAGTTGCACTCGAATTAGCCGAGCGATTCCCGTAGCTTCTTGTACGTGTACCAGCATCCCTAAATGACCGTTTCTGGTCAGCAATTCATTAAACACGTTGTTTAGCCGCATCAATCTGGCTTGGCCTCAGCAATCAGCCTGACCAATGTAGAATTTCTGCTTTAGCCTCCCCTTTAGTGTCGGATCAAGGGAAAACGTCTTTACTACTTTAGCAAAAATTAGAGGCAATTGTCGATAAGCTTCTAAACAATTGTTTCAAACACCAGTCACAGGCTTTCTTGCCCAACTCAGGTCCTGATAGAGTAGTAATTAGTATAACAATTACGAGCTTCAGTTAACTTATCACTGTAAAGAATGTAATAAATACAATAGTTCGACAAGTTAAAAATGTAGTCCAAGCGGAGTAGAGGTTAGTAAATATTATTAAGTTCTAAACAAGTCAACTGAGTCAGAAGTGCACGGCGTGCCTGCTGTAATTATCAAACACGTTACGATATGGGACAAGGTACTACCAAACAACAGGCACATTTTGTGGGAATTAAAGAATGTAATAAATATAATAGTTCGACCAGTTAAAAATATAGTCCAAATGGAGTAAATGTTAGCAAATAATAATAAGTTTTGAATAAGTCAACTCAGTCAGGATTGCACGGCACGCCTGCTGTATTTATTAAACACGTTACGATATGGGACGAGATATTATCAAACAACAGGTTTGTGGGAATACCCGGACATAACATTAAATTTAGTCTCATAGTTACTAAGTTATGATGACGCAAAACTAGTCATCATACACCAATCAGTCAATTTCTCAAATAGGCTATGTACTCTTATTAAATCCCAGATTGTCTTATATGGTCCAGTCTTCTAGTCCGGTTCAAAAATATCCTCCTCCTAGATCGGTTAAATCTGGTCCGGTCCTACATTCCCCCCCACGACACTTTGTCCAAAACTCGTAGCGATTTAGTTGGCTAACTTGCTGCCCATCCTTGTCGTCGCTGTGTCTTGGTGTTGCTCGTTCTCACACCACACTTGTCTACGGTAACTCATACGGTATATTCATATTCACATTGAAATCGACGAATTTGGTCGGACCATTCATATGCATATTTACAATACTCACTCCCTCGTGTACTCAATTTAGTACTGTGTACACACACCCTATCGTTCTACGTAGCGTCGTGTCACTCCTATTATGTTTCTATCTTTTATCTTATGTACCCGAACTTGCTGTATGACTGTCATTGCATGTGCATCTTCCTTTAATATCTACGTGGGCATGTCATTTCTTTGCAAACCTATGTTGTCTACTAATAACCTAGTTAGTTTACACATGGTTAATTAAGTATTTATCCCATATCATTCCTCTCTCTCTCATTCCTGTACCCAATTTCTTACGTACCTTTCAAATACCTGTACACACGTGTACTTCGTGCTCGTTGCCATGGCGATGCTCAAACATATGCACCTACCTGACTTCCTTTTGTTTTCCTTGACCTTCTGATACCTTCTGCAATTCGTCCAAATCCTCCTTATTCTTCTGGATATCCTTCTTGATTTGAGTCGACTCTCGTTCCGGTATCGATGCCCATGGCTCCGTGCGCTTCTCTTGTCGCGGCATGGTCCGCAGAGTCCATGTCAATGTGATCGTCGGATTCCTATTCTCTTGTTCCAACACAACATTTTCTCTGTTGCGATTCTCCGTTGTATTATCTATCGTTGACGTCCTTAGGGTCTCCTGACTGTTAACACTGGCTGTGGCGTTTTCGTAGAGCATGTAGTGCCGCACTGGAGCCCGTTAGCCAAGGGAGAGGTGAAAATGCTCATATGCTATTACTAGAGCGTTGAGTTATGGTACTGCTACAGCCCATTTCTGCTTATTTGGGGTTCACAACCCAGCGAAAGTAGTGGTCTTGTGCTTGCAGCGAAGTGATCCTCCAAATACCAGTGTCGACGAATTTAGAGTTATCATAGCTTGATGGTTCGGTGGTCATATGTACTGATTGAGGGTTATCCGAGGCCGAGAATCGCTAATCCCCGCACTGGAGACAGCCCACACAAGACTGAAATATGCGGGTAGGGATTTTTGCACTGGTTCCTCGATCCCAGGAGGCCAATCTGTGGCCCAACTCTGCGAGTTTCTCTTTGACTCTTTATTTTAATATAAAAGTTAAAATAATCGTAGATGGGAGAATCGAACTCCCATTTTTGCTGATTCGTTATAACGACTCCACAAAGCAATGTTCTGCCATTGAACTAATCCACTTGCTATGAATACAATATATGAAGTACTCTATGAATATATGTTTGAAAGAATAAACTGTTAGATACTTCAAGTGGTGAATATTAAAATATTCATCATGCGCACGTAAACAAAATAGTACAATTTTTTTAATCTATAATTTCGCACTTCATTATCCGATGGGATATTTTCAATATAAAAGTAAATATAAACATTCGCTGCTTCCTATCGTTACGACCTCAACACACCAACAATGTATTTCTAGTGAGCGCGTGTAAGTATATGTTTCGTACATTTTCAAGGCACGTCGCATATAATCACTTTGCGACGCACGTCTGATACACATTAGCATGTTGATTGGCACTAGTATAAAAAGAGTAAAAAGATATCAGCGAGGAAGCCAGCTCGACTGTCACGTTCAGTCCAGAACCTACGTCAAGGAAAGCGGACGAGACGATGGGAGATAATATGGACGCAGATGCACAAACTGCCACCGATATGAATACAAATAATCATTCGGATGTGTACGAGAAGTCAGACCGACGTTCAGAGGAGCATGAGGCACATCGTACACGAGATGCAGAACAAGGATATGCACAGTTACCGCAAGAAGTCCTTATAGCAATATTCCAATACTTAGATCCAGTCGGTCTGGTTCGTGCCAGTCATGTGTGCAGTACTTGGCGACAACATGCATGCTCAGAAGAGATGTGGAGACGCATTGCGCATGCTAGGGGTTACAATCTAAAGCAGGGATGCTCGGGCGCTTGTCCTAGGTCTGATGTGAATACAAAGCCAGTGAGCAGGAGACCGTTCGAAGGAGCATGTGAGTGCACCAGTTGGCGTAGGGTGGGTATAACGTGTACTTTGGGGTTTCTAAATAGTCCCATTCAAGTAGTTATCGTAGCGACTGCGAATGATATACACAGGGCAGCATGTGCTGCTAGTGTGGTCGAAAATATGGCTACACTTAACGGATTCGACAAACTGCCGGCAACGACGCCTGAGGAATTCATAGAGGTATGTGTTGATAAGTTTATGAGGATATCGAATCCAGAAGGTGCTTAAATTACATTAAATGATGTCTTAGAGAATGTGGGCAAAAATGGGGGTTTAAATACAAACACACACACACACACACGCACACATACACACACACACACACACACACACACAC